TGCCTTCAACATGTCGTCCGCCGGGACCATGCGGCATGATGCTTCCGTGAGGAAGCGTTGMCACCATGACAAGGCGTCCGACTTGTTGTAATCATCGAACTTGCTGATGTCGAAGTGCGGCATCTTGAACGTCTTTGTAGCGGCTTCCGGTCTCGTCTGTAGCTTGSTGATGTCCGTCTTGATGGCGGCCACCGTGCTGCTGATCGAGTCTGGTTCGTTGAAAGTACTTATGTCGCTGATGATGGTGACGACGTGATCGATGCGCTCGTTGAGTTGCTTCGTCACGTCTGTCGTGCAGCCTGGCGCTGCTGAGGCGTTAGCCTCTATGCTGTTGACGCGTGTGATAGTGGAATTCAACAGATGATGCTGTTGCTGCTGGTGCGTTGCCTCTGTGCGGATAGCAGTTGTTAACGCAGTCATATCGTTCTTGTATGTTTGTCGCTGCGTCGCGTCCGTGCGCAGATGTGAATGCAGCAGTGTATTATTCCACATAATACCTCTCATCATGCCCAGCAGCAAGTTAGCCAGGTTACTTCTCTCTGCCTCCGCCGGTGTCGGGTCTGCCTGCGCTTCCGTAGGCACAAAGATCATGTCTTGGAGTATCGTCGTCCACTGATGCTCACAAGCAATCAAGGACTCTGTGCTGCTGGCATTCCGTCTGTCTCGTGTCTCTGCGTCAGTCTCAGTCGTTCGCTGAGCTTCGGCTGCCGCTTCMTTGGCTAGCCGCTGACGTTCTGCCTCTGCCGTCTCCTTCCGGGCCTCGGCGGCAGCTACGGCTTCCGTAAATGCCAGTAGCCGCCCATGATAATCAGCCGCTGGCTCATTGGCTCCTCGGACTGGGTATGCGGGATGATCTCCGGTGGCGTCTTGTACCGTCAATGCCGTACTTGATGCTGCTGGAGTCGTCCGCCTGCTGAGTTTCTTCGGTCTTGGAGGTACTGCAGGGCGGGCACGAACTGCGATTCTGGCACTGCGTCGTGGCAGKGCCCCGGTGTCCTGTTCCGTCGACATCAGTCTGAACCGATGCGGTACTTGAGAAGTCCCGGTAATCACAGAACACGGGGGGTAGGGAGAGTGGGAACAGGGGTAGAACAATCAAGCAATACACCTACAATCCCCTGTCCCACTTGTTGGACTATAGACCSCTAATCWAAACCCGMAAATAAATTCCCGGAACCAATTCAGAAAATTCGTAATAAAATAATTAACGTTTTAATCAATAAATTTAATTAATGAAAAAATACGAGATAATTAATCRATGAAATCATAAAACGAATTTGAATGGTAATATGACTAGGTCTCTTTCGAGATTACTATGTGTCCGGGAGTTCACCGTTACTGAGTGAACTACCCGGAAGTTGCAGTTTAAGGGTCAGATACGGCGTAGTGTGCGAAAAAATTTCGGAAAATTTCAGAAGAAAAACGCTCGAATTTTCAAAAATGCGAATTTTCGGGAATTTCCACCCTCAAAATCCGATTTTTAAAAGCCTAAACCTATTTTCGGAATTTCTCAAACAAGGAGAAAAAAAAAAATTTCGCGAAAATTTCGGTCCCAACCCTAATTTCCGCGGTTCGGCGAAATTTCCGGATTTACGGTCCCAAAATGTTCGAGTTTCCCCAAGTTGATCTAAAACCAAAAGATTTTCATAACCCTAATTCCCATACTGAAAGACAACGGAAATCTCAATAGAAAACGAAATATAGGATTTACAACAGAATGCCGAAAAACGGAATGCTGAATGAACATCAGAAAACCCGAATTTCAAACATGATACTGATTCAACCCTAATTACGAATTACTTAACCAGAAATCCGAATCAAACAGAATGTTGGATTAGTATCAATCTCTCGGATCTAATTAAACAGCATACCGTGTACAACAGAAATCCGAATAAAAGTCCGAATACTGGATTGAAACGGAAATGCTGAAACAGCCAGAATACCGAAAAAATAAAATTTGCAACTTTGAACTTGATAATACTTCAGCGCCGATTTAGAAGATCAAACATGATAACCTAATTCTAAACGGACTTACCTGGTGAGCAGATCCGTTTTGGTCTGCTCCGATACCAAAACTGTTGCATACTTCGATGAGTATGGGCAGAACCAAAGATCAACCAATATAGGATGAGCATGTATG